CGGCCCTGGGCCTCGCCGCGCGCCCCGCTACCTGCTCGGTCCATGGCTCCGCGCGCCCCCTTGTGACGCAAGGAGGGCGCCGGCAGGCGTGATCGCGCGGCGCCGGAAGTGGCGGGAGGCTAACGTCATCGTGTAGCGCCGGAAGTGGCGGGGGTGGGGGGCGGCGGGCGTGCCGGGCAAGATGAGCTTGGCCGGTGGGTGCCCCGTCCCCCGCGGCTCGGCCGTGCCTGGCCTCACGCCCGTTGCCTTCGCAGAGGATGAGCTGAGCCTGCTTGTGGCGGTCGTGGACGCCAACCCCATCTGGTGGGGCCAGAAGGCGCAGGGAGGCGGCGAGGTGAGAGGCAACGCCCCGGGTCCCTGCCCTTAAGCTGCGCCCTCAGCTTCTGCCCCTACGTGTGCGGGCTCAAAAGCAGCCATCGTGGGCTCCCGGCTGGAAAACGCTCCTTGGGTCGATGGCTTGCTCGCAGTTGCAGTGTGGGGAGGTGGCCCTGGGGACCGACACCCTTTCCCGGGACATCCTGTCTCGACGGGAATGGCAGTGGGCACTGAGAGTGGATCCGACAGCCTCTCGTGCCAGCTCGCTCCCCGCCGGTGGTCAAGTTGCTTATTCCACACTTTACCATCCGCCTGTTAGTCGGGTGCTGCGGTTTGCTTCCTCCCGGCCCCAGTTGTCAGGAGTGTCGAGCGCCTAAGCGTGCGCTTAGAGTCGCCAAAAGCTTCAGGGGCTCGGCACAGCTGAAGTGAGGCTGCGATGTTATTGGGTTGGACCCCCCGGTTGCTTTAGGGGATGCATGAATGTTTGAAACTCTGCTCAACTGTCCTCTGTTGAACAGAGGAGACTTGAACAGAGTTTCAAACAAACATTCGTGCATCCCCTTACACGACCGCGGCTCTCCTCTCCTCCCAGAATTATTGTGAGCAAATAACTGATCTCTCACATTGTTTTTTTGAAGATTTTGAGCCCTATCCAAGTATCATTCTAGCGTTACATATTTCTGGAGCATCACTGATGCTTTCTGTCCTACAGAGGGAATTTGCTGCCTCCTTTAAGCTTCTTACCTTTGTGAATATTGAACTCTGAGGAAAGCATTACTTTAATGGAGTGGTTTATTTAGAGTGTTTTTGTTTTGGATGGTGATGGTGCTAAGCCACATGTTTTCCTTGCTCTTTCACACATTGCGCCTTGTCTTTTTCTGTTTTCCCAACAGTTTACGTTGTCAAAATGCCTGGATGCAGTGATGGTGATGGGGAATTCGCACTTGTTCATGAATCGCAGCAACAGACTTGCTGTGATTGCAAGCCATACACAAGAAAGGTACGGTAACTTTTATGAATAGCGTCACTACTGTTATAATTTCCCACCCATGTCTCTCGCCTGAATTGCTCAGTGTGCTGCAAAGAATAATTGGCATCAGATTTAAATATATAATGTTTAATTTAAATTTAGATCTGTTTTAAATGGGCTTAAATACCCTATTAAAATGAGTGAAAACAGACGGGGAAGGGGATTTGGACTTGGGGACTAATACAGAAGAACAAGTGGAAAAACAAAACAACATAGTTTTTTAAGGTTTTTTTTTGTGGAGAAGTGGGGATTGCTGCACTAAAGGAACAAAAGGAGGTTGTTTTCCTGTCTGACCTTTTCATTCAAAGCTGCTACTGCTTTCTGATCTAAGAATAAGAAATGGGAGGTTAATCCCTGCATTCAGGTGGTGCCTGAAGGCTAGTTCTCCTTGGAGTGTCTCTTAGAGAGCCTTTCCACCAGTACATCCTTACATCACCTAGAGCTTTAAAAAGACTCCTTACTCTGTGGTGACCATTGCTTAGAATGAACTGTCACTTTCGACTTTCACTTTCTATGAGCAGCTCAAGTTGTGGTTCTAACTCAGTTGTTATTAAAGTAACAGGCAAATACTGTGTTGCTGGTTCTCTTTCAGTCGTTTCTTATACCCTGGAAAGCGCTGGGCATTTGCAGATCTCTTTGGAGATGGTGGCAGCTGTATAGAATCTAATTGCGCTGGCAGCAAGGATGGAAAATATGAATTATTAACTGCAATAAATGAAACAATTGCAGAGGAGATTAAAGACCTCATGACAAAAAGTAAGATGATCTTCTGTTAAAGAATGTAGTGGTTTCTGTAGCATGCTCAGTTTTTAATGCCATCAAGTGAGGGGAAGTATCGTTCTGAAATGTTATATGCAAAGGAGATGCTTCAGGAGATTATTCTATGATAGAATCTCCTTTGCTTCTGTCTTTTGAAGCTTATTCTCCCCTTTCATTATGAGAGTGTGCTTAAGGCCAATAAGACACTGAGAAATTCAGCACTTTAATGCTGAATTTGGAGCCAGCCTTTAATGTTTTGTCCAGGAAAAATTAATGGAATGAACTGTTTGGCATTAGATAAGGGAATGACTTTATTCAATAACCAGTTCTGTGCATTTTTATATTACAGCTGATGTGAAGGGCCAACAAACAGAGACTTTATTGGCAGGATCAATTGCCAAAGCACTTTGTTGTATCCTTCCCATAGCAAAACATTTAGAATATCTTTCTCTTTAAAAAAAATAAATACATGTGAAAATCCTTCTTGCTACCAGAATCCTTGCACACTCTTGGTAGTAGTCTAAACCAGTACGTTTTTGTTTTCAGTTCTGACTTCTGAGTATCATAGCTTGAGATCTGAACTTCTGGTAAAGTTATCCATGTTGGTTAAACTGTTTAGTGCAGGTATTGTATTCCCTCTGTTTTGTTGTTTTATACGACTTATACATCTGTTTCTCAAGTGTTCCTAGAATAAAATGGTATTTCCTGAATAAAAGCTAATACAGATATTCACAGGATGACCAAGGAGGTAAAAGGTACTTTTTTCTGTTGTTTGCATATTTTTCTGAGTGCTAGAATTAAGAGGAGGAAAAAATGCAGAGCTTCTACTACTATAGCCAGCTAAGAAAAGTAGGGGTTTGTCCCAATCTTTTAAAGGGGTACAAATTGACTGCAGATTAGTAGACAAGGAAAGAACATGCGAGAATTGTATGGCTTTAACAAACATGTTAGAACTTTAAAACCAAGCGCACAAGGTCAGCTCTAAGGAGAGGGAAATCTTTCCACATGTAGAGTAAAGCTTTGAATTTGGCAGTTACAAAGTACTACACTACCCTCTACCCTTCAGATTCAAATTTTATACTCAACAATGGAGTTTCAAAAATGGAACTTGGATACTGTTACTTGTATTCTGTGGCTTGATCATGTAAACCAGTCTTAAAGTAAACTCTCTATTTAGCTTTAAAGAGAAGTGGTAAAATACCATCAGAATGGCTTTAAAAACCTATGATCCAGTCTCTGTTTGACCGAGTAAAATGACAGGGAACCACACTGAAATTGTCTTTTGTTCTTCATCATCCAGTTGCTTTTTAGGAATGAATGTGACAGTATCCACTTTCACAGCAACTCTGAATTTAGTCTGGTGACTTCTGCTGGAAGTTTAGCTTCATTATTTCATATTTGGTCTTAGTATGACTAAAAACAGTTTCTTGCTTTCATTCAGGTGTTAAACTAAAATGTAGAATTAGGAAGACGGAATACTGGAGGTTAATCCCATACTTATGGGACACTAATGCATGGGTTTTTTTTGTCTCCAATATGTAGCCAACCAAGAAATAAAATCAAGAATTTTGGTAAGAACTTCTGCCTTCAGTTGTCTTAAACGGTTTTGAAATCCAGTAGTATTGTCTGTGCAGTAATGGTTGTTGATTGTTTTATTCAGGTTATAAAAGCTGCAGAAGACAGTGCATTGCAGTATATGAATTTCATGAATGTGATCTTTGCAGCACAGAAACAGGTGAAGTTACTGTTTTATCAGGTGGTTAACTATTCAGGTATTTTTTCAACATCAACACGCAAACATAAAAAGATTGTCACTGTTGCATTATGTGCTTCTAGTTTAATGGGATCTTTTGGGAGATATGAGCATCTTCATGCTGGGGGAGAAAGTGTTTGAGCTAAATGTAGGTGCATGTCATCTCATTGTAACACAAAAAGGCTACCGAGGTCCAGACCCCACCTTCCTACATCTTATATATGTAGTATGTTGGATAAGCTTCAGCCATTGGTCCTTGCCTAGCCATCTGGTGCGGAGGGAGGCTGGAATGTACAATACTTGCTAGAGTTCAAGAGCTTCAATTTGGGTGTAAACTCAGGGCAGTAATTCTACTGGAGGGTTATTTTTTGTGCTGCTATAATTACGATTCTTACATTTAATCTTTTTGATTGCAGAATATTTTGATTGATGCCTGTGTTTTGGAGAATGATTCGGGGCTCCTACAGCAGGTACCATGTACATATTTTTATTGCTTATTGACTATTTGAAAGTCTTGGATGAAAAACAAAAAATCAGTTTGCTATGATAGCTAGCTTGATGTGTTTGAAAAAGCTTTTCTCAGAACTCTTTTGCAGATTTTGCGTAGAGGGGAAGAGATCATACCTGCTAATGTGAGAAAAGGAAAAAAATAGTCCTAGAATTCAAAAAAACTTACCTAGAAATCAAAAAGAATGTGAAAAGATTTAAGATGTGCAAATGATTGTAAGAACTGTTCTGTTTTCAGAAACTTTCATTAAAAACTTATTGGTTCTCTGATTGAGGCCCATAGACAGCCACACTTAATTTCTGTCCTTTTACTGTGATAATCAGTGGAAAAAACATTTTCTTGTGTGGAGAGTTGTCCCCTGTCCGGCTTTCCAAGAGGTGATTCGGGACTGAGAGTATCTAGGGGAAGCAATTTCTTTAAGATTTTCAAATCTGTAGGACTTGTATGTCTTTTCTAGTCTTTCTGTAGCATGTAGGTGTTTCTCGTGAGGCATATATCAGATTGTCCTTGTGCTAAGTGTTTATAGCATATGCTTTTCAGGCTTGTGACATCACAGGAGGCATATACTTGAAAGTGCCCCACATGCCATCTCTTCTGCAGTATTTGTTGGTAAGTGAATGTGAAAAGAGCATGTAACAAGAGCAGCAGCAGCTTCCAAAGTTCCTATCGACTTAGTTGGGAGCGGGGGTAGATTCCATGACCTGACTGAGAAATTGAGACTTAGAAACCCCAGTTGCTTGCAGGGATTCAGCTGTTCTGGTTTCATTTTCTTTCTGCTTCAGTAGATGTCACCTTGGAAAATTAGAGGGCTTTGGAAACAACTTGGGGGGGG